GACTGATGTGAAGCCAACGAACAAAAGTGCTCACTGCATTATCCATGTTCAGTTGTCTGATGATGAGGGGAATATTTGCAAACACTTATCTCAATTAACTTCCAGGATATTTGTTGATGGGAGGAATTTTTGAAGAAACATGGTGCGCTTTTGGAGGTCGAACCTTCACATGTCTTTATATCACCAAGGAAAATATGCTTTCTGCTTTGGAAGATTGCGGTTTACGTGTAGAAGACGACCGCAAATGTTTCTTGTACGAGATTGAAGGCATGTACATGGTATGTGCGAGAAAAAGTGCTGGATCAGCGGTTTCGGAATCATCAGATTAATGGGAGTGTCAATTTAAGCTTATCATATTTGTTCATATGCTAACCACTATTTGTTTTTTTTAATATATGCTTACCATCAACGCTGTATCTTCTGCTTTCAACTGCTGTTAACCCTCTTTTTCACTGTCGTTTGCATTGAGACACTAAGATCTACAACTTTCTCTTTTCTCGACATCTTTCTGCACCAGCACTGCTTCTTGCCCGTTTTTTTATATATATACTCCGCTGCCCACTGTGGTTACGTTCACTATTCTATCTCATGCTCTATTTGGCTATTCATTTATGTTATTCACTTCATATATGCTATATATTGTTCAATTGTGAATTTTGCGGATTTTTGCTATTTTCTAGTCCATTAAAGGGTGGTCATTACGGACATCATCGGATTTGCAATAAAAGGAAGAAAACCATTGAAATGCATAATCTGTCACGGATTTGAAAGTTTGGGGAGATTTGCATCGGGAGACCTAAAACATGTGCCTCTTTACTAGTGCAATGGGAAGTGAAATTCCCACTTGTAAGTGGAGCTTTTACCAGCTTGTTTAGAAAACGTAAAACGAGCGTAGGGAATGATTCAATGAATGACGTTTAATGAACTAAGCCAAAACTCAAGGAATTTTAGACTCTCCGTAAGAATCAAGGTTTGCAACAAAATTTTACAACAATCTAGGCTTACTTTTTGGTGGAGACCGAGAAGACGCGGAGGGAGGTAGGGCGGTGGCACGATATCACGGAAAAAAGATGAACGTAACTGGCACCATATTCTTCTTTTGATTGTTGAAAGAAATACGTCAAGTGAACTTTGCTGTTGATGGCTGCCACGCAGCTCCAAGTTCACGCTAACAGCGCTATTTTGGGTTATTAGATGGACAAATGTTGTGGAACATCGCATGGCAATGTGTGAAAGTAGTGTCCAATGGGTAGTTGCTGGAGGTGAAGCAAATGCGGCGGCGTACTTTGATGCAGTTGAGTGAATGCGAGAATGAACCGCTTCGAAGGATAGCAACACCTCTCTCACAAAAATAGCTCAAAACCTCCATTTTCCGTTTCGATTAGGGTCATCACCTAACAAAAAAAAGGATTAAATGCCATCTTGGCAGCTAGAACCAACACTGGTCGAGGCCTTTTTATCGACAAGAGAGGGGAGCCTGGGAAAACATCTGTTTCAGCTCTGTGCAACAGAGCGGTGGGACAAAATGCGGGTTAAGGAAGCCCGCCAGCTGTTGGGCTAGAAGTTACCATCTAACAACATCTATGGCTCCAAGATACGCACTCTAAGAGGTCGACGTTTTGCTCAGAGACATTATCAAAGCGAGCGATGCCATTTGGAAAAAACATTTTAGAAGGTTTTTGCTTTCGTGATTGGCATAATTTATTCATACATAGACTTCAAACGTGATAGCGTCAACTTGGTCTACATGATAACATTCTTAGCAGCAGGAACGATCGAAAAAAGGAAGCTGAAAAGTTCTATATGGCATCATAGATTCGTATGATAAAGAAAACCTTTACCAATAACTATACTTACTCCATACATTCGAATATAAAAAAGCTCAATGGCAGACGAGGCAATGCAATGGGGGATTTAGGAAAGTATAGATCAGGCTATAGTGATCGGAATTATAT